AGCAGCACAAATCGATCCAGGAAAGAGTCGGAGGCTAGACATCAAAAGGACAATTTTAATTGGGGTGGGGGGGAATCACTCTAGGTGTGTGTTTGCAGCTGATCACTGCCAAAAGGGAGGGTCCATTCCGGAGAGAATCTCGCCCCCTAAATCTCAGCTCTTACCAGCCTGGTCGGAGAGGCTCGCACTCTGCACAGACGCAGAGAGCTCTTCTCCGTTACTCTCTGAGCTCCGGCGCTGCCCCCACGTTGTAGGATTAGATCCCCGTCTAAATGCAGAACCCAAAGAAAAGTTCAACAGCTGCAGCTGAACAGGGATCTTTCCCCCGTTCGGTGTCATTTATGTGATGTTTAACGAGTCCTGGGTGGCCGTTTTATCGCGTCCTCGAGGGTGGGTGGGCTGCCCTGGACAAAGAGGGCGAGCCGTTCCGCTTGGGCAAATGGGGGGGGGCTGGCAGTCCCCCGGCCTTTTTTAAAAAATTGGCTCTAACTAAGATCCGGATCTCCAAAACATCCTTTATTTTGGGCCGGGATGGGAGCGCCTGGCAGAGGAAAACGAACGCGTCAGTGCTGCGGAAAAGAAGCAACGTTACTTAGCCATCAGAAGCGCAGGTTCTCCCCGGAGCAAGTTGAAAGCGATCCGTTTGCCTTCACGTAATCGAAGGGATCTTGTCCTGATTGATACACGGATCACTTTCAAGCTAACACACGCACAGCGGTGGCGGGTGTGTGTGTGTGCGTGTGTGACACCTTTTCTTCCAGTATTAATCCTGATCCGAGAAGACCGAGTCACAAAACCCCTTCTTCTCCCAAACCTGTCTAGCTGCTGGAGGGAAGAGAGGAAGGAGGAAGTTTTTTCCCTCTGTATTCTCCCGAGGCTCTTTCTTAACGCCAGTCCGGGTGAAATCGGTGGCAGGCAGACAGGCAGGCAGGGTCGTCCCCGGCGCCGAAAGAACTTTTTGGATCCGGATTAATTTCTTTCCAGGCGCTTTTGATGGATCTCTTTCTCTTCTCCTTTCTTGTCTTCAGCCCAGGCTGGGATGGTCCTGGACAAAGACGGCAAGAAGAAGCACTCGCGACCCACTTTCTCAGGACAGCAGATTTTTGCTTTGGAGAAGACCTTCGAGCAAACCAAATACTTGGCGGGACCGGAGAGAGCCCGCCTCGCTTACTCGCTGGGCATGACCGAGAGCCAGGTCAAGGTAAGGGGCCCTTCCCGGTGCCAAGGCCGCCTCCGCTCCCTGGGCCCGAGGAGAGGAGGAGGAGGAGGCCGGGAGGGAGGGAGGGCGGCGGTCCCGATCCCCCAACTGAGAGCGCCCCAGCCAACAACCTCACGGCATCCTTCGGTTGCAGCAGCACTGGCATCCGTACACGATGTGTGCGCGTGCACTTCCCAGCGTGTAAGTCCTGTGGAACACGGCGGAACTTACCTTGGAGTAGACCTGTGCTGCTAAACCTCTTTAATCCGAACGGTGGAGCTAAGAGCCGTCGGCCCCAGAGGTGTTCACCAGTAGGAGCGGCGGAGAGGAGAGGGACTTTACTCCCAACTTCTCGTCGAAATAAACGAGGGTTACTTTCAAATGCTTTTAGTTAGAAATCGGTGGCTCTTGGTCTTGTCGGCTGAGTACACCCGAATTTCATTTCCTGCTGTTAAGAAAGCAGCGCAAACATTGGAAACGTCAGGTTGTGATCCCATTTAAGATTAGAGTAAGCCCATTTAAAGGCAGCAGGATTCGTGATTTACTAATGGGTAGTTGCTGTTGACTGTACTGTATTTTTAATTTTTTTGTGTTCGGTACACTAAAATGAAAGTCTTAATTTCTTCTGTTGTTACTCCTACTAATGATAACGATTAAAAATAAGGAAAATGCTAAGCTAAACTCACTTGGTTTCAAGGGCTTTTACTTTTCAGCCCTTAATGGTTTCACAATGTTATTCCTGCACTTGTCGTAGAAAGTTGCAACCTGATCCCATGTAAATACGTTTACATGGAAGTAAATGCCACCCAGCAATGATAGGACTTCCTGTATATTTAAGCTCGTAGCCTGAATTAGTCTTATAACTTTAAAAGGGCTGTGGAGAAGAAGGATGATTTACCTAGAATGACTGAGTTTTCTCTTTGTTCTTTCCCAAGACATTTTAAAATGAGCAGGACGTTTGTTTGGTTTTTTAAAAAAGGATGAAACGTAGGGTAAAGAGATAAGCAACAGTAGACAGTTTCTTGCGTTCAAATCCGCCCTAGACTTTCTCCAGAGTTGATCTAAACCTGTCTATGGAAAACCTGAGCTTTCTGAGTTTACACCAAGGGATTTTGAGTTTGATGTGAAGGGCAGTTTTGGTTAATAAAAAAACCTGAGGGTGGGAGAAGCTGCAAGAACGACTTGCTGGGTTTTTTTTTGTTGTTGTTGTAAGTTATATAATTTATTTCACTAAACAAGGGCTCCAACAGGATATTTTGTGGTCCCAGAACAAATCCTCCCCCAACCTCTTCCGTTAACCAAAGTTAAGCTCTATGAGTCCCCTTTCTTTCAGTCGGCGTCCCAAGGGCTATGTGTTAGTTGGGTCACATCGCGATGCCTTATACCACCGGTTGATCTGCGGGCATTTCTTTTCTGATAGCGTTGCAGGACGGCGGGAGATATGTGGTCTTCTTGTATGTTGCTTTTCCGGTACTCTGATAGAAGGGCAATGAAAGATATTTAAAGGCCGGTGTCTCCCACGCAGGCATTCAGGTCCCCCCCTCCTCCTTACTAAGATCTAGAAATCGGCTTACTGTACAGTATGCCTGTACTGTACTGTATATTGGAACCTCCTGCCCTCTGGGGGGTGGCTCAAGCTGTAATACAAATCATGGTTCAGTCCAGCCTGGTCGTCCAGTAGAGCCACTGAAACCAATGGGGGGGTGAGAATTGTCGCAATAAAGGTTAGACTTAGTAGGACTCGGACTCCTGCCCACCCATAATGGCTCCCTGCCTCTCACCCGCGTCGTACAAAACTGCTCGATGTCTATACAGAATGTCCGGCAGAATGTCCATGTAGACGCTAAGACTGAAGTTGACTTATAGTGAAAGGAGGCATAAAGTGAAGAGAAGCGCGGCATGAAAAAGAAAAGAAAGGAAAACATCGCCTCCCTTTGGAACAGAGAATTTTCACCTCTTAATCCGGGTCCGACCTTTATTTTTGCCAGTTGCTTCCTCCATAAAGCTATTTCTGTGGAAGGAAGCCCAGCAGGGGTTCGTGAGGGTTAACTTTTCTAAATTAGTGTCATTAGAAGAAAGCCCGATGCCCTAAATCTACTCGCTCAAAGTCCTATGGAAACCAAGGGGATTTACTCTAGAGTAAGCCTGCTCAGTATGTGTGTCAAAAGCCACCATGGCCCAGTTTGAGACTGGCTGGGAGGGGATTGGAGGCCCGGCCGCGGGATGACGGTCGCGCGTGTTTACGGCTGTAGCTCTGCTATAGTCGCCATATTATGTTGTTGGCGTGAGAAGGTGGAAGCGGACACGGAGACGGATGCCTACGGGGAAATGGCTCGGTGCGAAGAGCGTTCGGTGGCGGCGGCGGCCGTTTCGTACGTGTGAATGTGTCCCATGGCTTAAGGTGTCTTTGGTCAGGTCAAAGGCGCGTTAAACGAAATCACGTCGCTTTGGCCAGTTTTAAGAACGGGATCCAGAAAAAAACTTATTTAGGAACGAAATCGGGCACTAGGGCTTTAGTCTACGACACCAACCCGCCCGGGAGTGGACTTGGTTGGATGCTGTGCCGCATTTTCCCGATAACTTAAGCTTACTCGGTTGCAAGAAAGAGCCACTAACTTCTAAATAGTAGGCCCTGGAGAACAGCGCCGCTTAGGAGGAAAGTCTGCCAAATCTGATGGGATTTGAGGTGTGGTAGTGGTATCCAGGGTTCCCACTGAGTTGTGCCCGTGGGTGCCAGCAACGGCTGCGGATTTATTTCCCTCGTGTGGAGGGAGGGGGGTTCGGGTCGGTGTTGGGTTCCCTAACAGGGAGCCTATTTGTGAGAGGTGCTTCTTTCAAAAAAACAGATTGAGGATGTGGGCTTTGTAGCCTCCCATCCCAAACACAGGACGGTGAGAGAAATCCCGTTAGTAGCCGATATGAAAGGGAACTTCAAGGATGCGAGAGAGTGAGAAAACATCTGTTGACGGGCATGGTATTTAGAGAGGGTCTCCCCCCCCCCCCCCAGAATTCCTTCTGGTCTGTGCCCTACCCGCAGGGAAGCACTTGCGAGCAAATTTAAGCAGGTTTGCTCAGAAGTGGGACTTCTCCTGAGACTCCGGTGTATTTAGGATTGCGGCCTTGAGTTAATTATTTTTTACAGAACTTAAACCGTTTTGTTCTGTTCCCAGAGGAGATTTCTGTCTGAGGTGGAGTTGCTTATTTGTATTAACCCTCAAAACTCACTCTGCGGTATTTGAATCGGATTAGCAAGTATCAGTGGAAAGTATAACAATGCCTGGGAAAGGGGAAGGCAGCAGGAGAAGAGGCACGATAATATGTGAGATGCATTCACTCCATTAAGGAAACTACTGGATTGCGTGCACAGGACCTAAGCAGGTCTGTTCACAAGATGACTTTTTGGAGGACATTTTTGGAGGTAGTTCGTGGGATGGTAAAGAAATTGAAAGCAACTTGATGACAGGGAACAACAGTCTGCGCTCCAAGATCTATTATTCTTGTGCTTTAGTGGTAGGAGAGTGCGCACCGATTATACCCCCCCCCAATAGTTTTCTTGAAGGAACGTCAAAAGGGTTCAGATTTAATTTGCATGTGAGTTACGTGCCGTGTCTAAATCCGATTTAGTGATTTGCGTGGTAAGGGTTGGATTTTTACCCTGGAGAGAGACTCCAAAGGTGTGTGACTCTTGTCTGTCTTGCCTTGCCTGTCGGCTCCAGGTGTGGTTCCAGAACCGGAGGACCAAGTGGCGGAAGCGCCACGCGGCTGAGATGGCCTCGGCCAAGAAGAAGCACGACTCGGAGACGGAGAAGCTGAAGGAGAGTTCAGAGAATGAGGACGACGACGAGTACAACAAGCCGCTCGACCCCAACTCAGACGATGAGAAGATCACGCGGCTCCTGAAGAAGCACAAAGCCGCCGCCGCCGCCGCTGCCCCTCTGGCCCTGCTCAGCCCCTGCAGCAACGCCTCGGAGCCCTCCTGACTGGGAACCCACGGCCCTTGCCCCACCGATCGCCCCCCTCCGCCTGCCCCCCTCCCTCCGGCCAAGCAGGGTAGCCCATGCCAGACGCCAGCAGCGGCCCAGCCTCGGGGACTGGCCTCCATGACGTCCTGTACAGCCCGCCCCGTCGGGGAAAATAATGCCTGTATATATATTTTTACAGAATAAGTTATGGAAATGAAGGGTCAGCCACCCTTTTCTCTCCCCCACCCATCCCAAGGCCTCGCCCTGCCCTGCCCGGTGTACATAACACACGCACACTGTCTCTTTCTCTTCCGTGCATGCGCACAGCCAGGCAGGAGGAAAGGAAGGAGTGGGACATAGAAGCCCCAACTTTTAGAGGGTACCCTTCCTTTGAGGATTTTTTTCATTCTGCTTTCCTACCCACCCCACACACCCCCTCTCGCTGTTCTAAATTTGGAAATCAGAGGCAACCAGCTACCAGCCCTGCCTATGCTACCAGTCCCATTGGTAAGTGCAACTGTTTAGCTGCACATGTGACATGGGGTGACAGCCAGAGGAGCTGGGCTGAAGCAGCCAGGATTTGCTGGGGAACCTAGTTTACATCGAAATCCAAAGGATTTAGTTGCTCAGCTGGGAGGAGATCCTCAGCATACTGCCTAGGTGGAGGTAAGTCCCATTGAATCCAGGTGGGATTACACTGGAGCAAAGGGTGTGTGGAATTAGAGGCCTGATTCCAATTGGTAGCCTCAGCTAGAGTAGACCCTTTGGATCAGTGGGATCTACATAAGCGTTGACTCACCAATTTGGCAGTTTACTCCATAGGTCTCCTGTAGTGGCTTTAGGTCTGATGTTCTCCTGCTACAGTTCTAAGCACAGTTATCTGGGAGTAAACCACACCAAACTCATGAGGGTGAGGATGACTGGATGCAGTTAATTTCTGCTATCCTAGGCTGTCCTTGTGTGTTACAGAAACTCAAGAGTGTGGAAAAGTTACTTTTCTGGAAACCTCTATAAATGCAGCAAAAATGTAACTTTTCCAAGCTCTGCTGGACTTGTCACCGCTGCAGCTTGGTTCTGAAAAGGCTTAGGCTTTAGGTGCGCAGTGGGAGCTTAGGCAATACTTGCACAGAAGTAAGTCCCATTGAGTTTAGTGAGATCTATACAGTAGGAACTGTGCTTTCCACAGTAACCTTAGTTTTCATGGAACTTACTTCCCACTCCTCGGCCCACATCTTTGGGAAAGAAGTTCTGCCAACATCAGTGGGGCAAAAGTGGGTTTATGATGATGTGGCAGAGCTATTTCTCCTTAAGACTTGCCTTTTAAAAGTTATAATCCTCACCCAGTCGCACATGATTCCATCCCCTGCCTCTTCGTGTAGCTTTTTTGCTCTTAACAATCAAGAGTTTGTTACTGTTTTGTATATGGGTCACCAACTCCTGCTCAACCACTTTGTATATAAGAAATTACAGATTTTTGTGATGTATATTTCTAGTGTAAAAAAAAAGTAAGGGCAGTCTTATTTCCTCCTTTTTTTTTAAAAAAAAGTTCTGTTTTGGATGGATTCACTTTCTTTTCTTTCTTTTGGAATTGCTCCTGTTTCTTTTGTTTGTTTGTTTTCATGGAAATTTAAGGGAGAGAGAATTGTGTTGCCTGGATTTCAATTGGTCTCAGACTCTTGCAGTTGGAAAGACTTTGTATAAATCAATAAATTATTTAACAAACGTTTTCTTCAGAAAAATCTTAGTGAAATGGTGGTTCTCTTATGCTTCCCTCTTCTCTGGAGTATTCAATACCAGCCCACTCCAGAAGGTTGTTCAGAGAAGAAATGGAGAAATTCTATTCAACCTGTCCAATTTCTCTGTCTTCTAAACTTGCATCAGTAACATTAGAGTACAAGCTTCCAAATACTGTTTCTGCCTGTTGACTCGTCTGAACTGGCAGCAGGGTTTGGTTACTTTAGATATCCCGCCTCCCTTTGTTTTAGTGGAGCACACTTCCGAATTAAGGTGGTGCTCTTTATTTATTGATTTTGGGCATTAACTTCAGTGACAACTGGAAAGTATCCAAAAGTCCACTTGTGATCCCTATGTTAATTGGGGTTTTACAGGGTTGACAACCTATCTTTGGGAGCAAGCTTGCAAAGCACTGCTTTGCTCTCTCGGAGGAAACATTCGCAGACCAGAAGGGGACACTTCAAGGCTAGAGCATTTTAAAAAAACCTGCTATGCTCTGAAAAACTGAGCAACAAGCAAGTGCAATAATACGCACCTAGTGTTAACAAGCAATTGTTCTCTGGTCAGAACTATGAAACCCAAAATGGAAAGAAAGTCTTAATACGCTGGGACACAAAAAAAAAGGTGGGGGTGTTTCCTGAAGCAGCCTAATATATTAAATTCCCATATTTGTTTTGCAGCCTCCTTTTTGGGGGGGGGGGATGAAAAATCAGACAGGTACAGTGCAACACTTACTGTGACAATTATGTTAAATATATTTAAGTCGGAGTCACGATTATAATTTCTTCATCACCTCCTTCGACAATGTCCGTATAGATCTTGGACGGTTGATTTCCAAATTTTACTAGCTGGCAAATGGCAACATATTAGGAGGAAAATGTAATGCTAATGTAGCTCAGTGTGTGTGTGTGTGTGTGGCTTTTTACTTGGTGAGCAGCAGATACTTTCAGGGTCAAAGTGGCTCATCTTAAAACACAGCAAGATGAAGGACTAGGCTAGAGAGCTTAGTGTGCTTGAATACCCAGGACAGGAGTTCACATTGCCACTAGGCCAAGGAAAAAAATCGCCCCTGTACAGCCTTGGGCAAGCTGCACAGTCCCAAGATGCCCTCCCAGGAGTGGTAAACCATAGTTAGACTGTTAAATTATGTCAAATATATCTAAGTCACATTCATAATCATAAGGTTTTGATACACATTATTATTATTTTAGAGGACCTAAGGCAATGTCTGGAAATTACAGAAGCTCTAAAGAAAAGTCTTCAAGTATGGAAAAGAAAAGGATCCTTATCTCCCTATTTAAATCTATGTCTTTTTTCAATGGAATCAGATATTATGTGTGTGGATTATGGTTACCGAGATTGAGAAGCCTGAGCAATTACAATTACAGATGTGACTGAGATGGTTTTGACTTTGATGCCTTACAAATATGTTAATCACTGCAACTGTTGCATTGTTCCTTTCTTCTTTTTAAATGAAAGGCCTGAAGAAGGCCACAAAAGGATGAACTGGCCAAAGGCATAATGGGCTCTTTCAGCAAACAGGCACCCTCTTTTACATCTTGGGACTTATTTTTTCTCCTTAACATGTAGTTTCATTGTACAATTCCAGTTTTGTTTTGGCTGACAACTATGAACCAGTAAATGCTCTAGGGTAGGGAAGAAAACATGGACATGATTTTAAAAAATTAAATGAAAACCAAAATGACAACCTCGGGAAACCCGGGTTCAAATCTCTGCTCAGCCATAGAAACTCCTGGGGATAGGCAGCAATGGTAGGCCTCTTCCTGAAATATCCTACACACCTGGAAAATCCTATCAGGGTCATCATAGGTTGGAAGTTGCTTGAGGACACATAATAAATAAACATGAAATAGGTAATAAACCTGTTTTCCCCATATGGCATTAGGCCAGTGTCAACCAAGATGCCTGCCCATTTTAAACCGCTTTGTAAGGTTTTTTCATGGGGGGCACAAATATTGTGAGAAGCAAAAAGGTAATTTTTAGGCTGCAGTCCTAAATGCACTTCCCTGCGAGTGAATTCCATGGATCAAACCGAGGCTTACTTCTGTGCAGATGGATCCTGTTTTGCCTTGCCAGGTTCATTTGCAAGTTTCTGGGCCCTAACCTGTTCAGGAAAGCTGCTGTGGCTTGTGGGTAGGAAGAAATAATGCTACTGGTCACCATGGCTTTATATGACCTTGTGTCAAAGCCTGTATACTTGCTTTAGAAACATGAATTGCTTGGCTGGCCATCGCTAATAATAGTAAAAATGTGTTCCATCCATGGCAACAATATTTTTAAATACCTTTTTTCAAACTGAAAAAAGCCCTCACATGCACTCTAATAATCCCTTTTACTCTATTTTTAAAATAAATGTTCAGAAACTTGGGGACTATTATTATAACTATTTTTAACACTAGCCTTTCAGTATGTAGAACCAGTGAGATGGGCAGAAATATAAGTGGTTGCAAGAAATGATTAGAAAGCTTTTTAATATCCCAGGTCAATCACTTTCTAAGCACTTTTATTTATTTCGTATTATTTATTTTTATTAGATTTATATCCAGTTTTCCTTACAAAAAATGGAACTCAATGCAACTTAGGTTTACAAGAAATGGTTGCACAATATACAAGATTAGATAAACTCCATAAAATAAATTGTAATTTTCCCCCTCAAAAGCTTGGGAGTTTTTTTTCTTCAAATATTTTTTGTGGAACCAAATGGACTATAGAGTGAACTAGTTTGAGAAGATTTGGAATTATGGGTTCAATAATACCTTTACAAGATCACTGAAAATTATAAATAAAGCAAGCTTTCTAGTCCTGAATAATGCTACTTTGGGTGCAGATGTTGTAAAATTTTGTGGACTGGGGGAAAAAAATTAGTTTTGCACAGCTGAAAAAGGAGCCTAAAAGTTTACCATTGAAGATATAAATATACAAGTAAGAAAAATACATTTCGAGTAGCTAAACCATAAAGGCCTTCAGGTTCAAAAGCACTGCTTTGCATTGGATCTGTTCTAAAACACCTGGATGCTTGAAACTATATGACTCATAGCTCATCATTAGAGATTCTAACACAACAGTCCTGGGTTTAGGCTTGTGAATGTGATCCTAAGGGAGGGCCATAATTTTGAAATGAGTAGTAAGAAAGTGAGTTAGCAGAAGCTCTGAGCCTCAGACAAAAGGAAGAACTTCCATGAGCTTACAAAAAGTATCTTGAGGAAGAAAAATTTAAATCCTTCCCATTGGCTCCTGTAGGATGCTTTTTTTCCAAGCCTTGTTGCTCTGTTGATGTGTGTGTGAGAGAATGAATTGAATAGGCATCGTCTGCCCTTCCCCCACTAGTGTGCACTCCCAAGAAGATCAGCCCTGAAGAAAAATGCCCATGACGGATGGAAAAGTCACTCCACTGAAGTCCCCAGGGGCTCCATGAGGACAATTCTCTTCCAAAAGGAGGCTACAGAAGCTTTAGCAAGGAAGAAATATCCAGACTGACTGTGACTTTTTCCTGGGACAGCCATGATTGCATTTCTCCTGTCTGTCACTCAGATGTAAAATACGTAAACCTGGCTCAACCATATGTTTGATTTAGAACAGGTTATTTTCTTGTCTTTATCCCACTTCCACAACTGATGTATTACAGACGATGCCTACAATCCTATGCAAGTCTGATTAGAAGCACCGAGCTGAGTGGGAAGCGATGGGGTGGCTCAGTGGCAGAGGACGTGCTTTGTATGGAAAAGGTCCCGGTTCAATTATATCACCTCTAGATAATAATGGCTAGGAAAGGCATCTTGAAGAGCTGATGATGCCAGGATGTATGCAGTCTTCAGACCGGATCCCAGACCGGATCCTAGACACGGGATGAGACAGAACGTTTTTTAAATAACTCACTATGTACAAAAATAGATCATAGTTTAAAATGTCTTGAATATTTGTGTGCAGAGCTAATCTGCCAGGGCTTGAACCTTGCAATGAGAAACACAGGCCTTCATCCATACCCAGAAATAGGCTTCCGGCTGGATGGCTCTCTCTCTTTCACCCTCTTCATGCCATGTTCGAGTAATTTTTTAAAAACTCTTAATGCTCAAACCTGGCATGCGTATAAACAAGCAAGCAAACAAATGCAAATAGATTCCTTCTCCTCTTCATGCCATGTTCGAGTAATTTTTTTTCTACTCTTAATGCGCAAACCTAGCATGCGTATAAACAAACAAGCAAACAAATGCAAATAGATTCCTTCCACTTGTTCTTCTCATAGTCAAAAAAAAAACAAAGTCCTTCGGAGTCTGTGTTTTTTGTTCTTCTTTGGTTTAGGTCTTTGGATGTTTTACAGGTTTTTTTAAAAAAATTGAATGATTTTTAAAGTACTGAATTACTTTACATTCTTTTAATTTGATTTATTGATTGTGCCTCACACTGAGGTTTGTCGATACAGGGAAGGCTAGACGCAGGCCAGTTCTAAAAACCCTCGCACTGAAAGAATCCTAATGACTTCCGCCATATAAACTTGCTACTAAATCGAAATTGCAGAATAGAACATGAAAGCCTCCGCCTAAACATACCCGGGAACAACCGATCTATGTATACTTGTATTATTCAGAAAGGGAAGGTTTTCCTGAGCCCTCTTCACTTGAGAGAAACGTTCCCCTCACACTTCGCACTTGCCCCGTTCCTTTTCCTCTACTTGATGTTCAAGCCGAGGTAGGGGGACCCACCCCGAAGAGATAATAGAAACCCCAGGAACAGGAGTTCGAAACCTTCCCGGTCCCGCAAATTTTTGCGCGGAAAAGCAGACAGAGGAGCTAAGCGGGGATCCCAAAGGAAATCACAACTAGGAAAAGTTACTTTTTTTGCGGAAGGCGACCCGCAGACTCCACTGAGCCTGGCCGTGCTGGCTGGGGGCGCTAGGGGTTATAACCGAAAAGAGAAATGTTCCCAGCTATGGATTAAATACCCAAATTACAGGCTGTACGTCACATCCG